CTGGTATGCATAAATCGACATGGTTTTTGGTATATCCTTTATTACACTTACATTTGTTTGGCTCAACACATGCACCATTTTCACATCTAATGCATTCTGGTTGACATTCAAAAATACTACCATTTTTAAGCCTGTATCCAGCGTAGCATTTGCAATTCTCGAAGTCTGTGCAACTCCCCTTAATACATGTTTGACTACATTTCGATTTGCAAGTGAAATCAATTGTAGTGAAGTCATAGTAAAACCCCTCTGGGCATGGTGGACCACAGTGAGTCTCATTAATATGAACCATGCCTAAGTTGCAAGTACAGCTATTGAAGTCTGTGCAATTCCCATTGACACATGGTAGGCTACATTTTGATTTACACATGAAAGTAGCTGTGGTAAGATCATTGTAAAACCCCGTTGGACAAAATGGACCACAATGGGTCCAGTTGAGATGCTCCAAACCAAGGTTGCAAATACATTTGTCAAAATCTGTACATTTTCCGTTAACACAAGGCTGGCTGCATTTTGATGTACAAGCAAAATCCTTTCTAAAGGGGTCGTTATAAAATCCGTCAGAACAGAGTGGCAGGCATAGGGTTTCGTTCAAATGGTTCAGGCAATCAAGCCGGAGCAAACTGAAATCATTTAATGCATTTTTATTTGACATTGTTGTGTAATATTATTATATTTTGATCAAAATCTCTTTTTTGTTAATTATTTTTAAGTTTCGCGTTTCTACTGAAATAAATGTCGTTAGTGTAAAGTAACCCTAAATAATTCAAGTTATAATATTTTTTCTTAATTATTACGAATTTTTTGAGCATAAAAAACTGTAAATTTAAAGATTATAAAAACATATAAAGATATAAAGGGACTGGTGTGGAGCCTTATAACGTAGGGGTGTAAATACTAAGAATATATATTTTTTTAATTTCACGTGGAGATAGTTAAATGACATGAACATGTTTTTATTTTGGTATTATACAATAATACCAAATAGTAGTTAGTTAATAATAGTTTAAAATAAATATTACATTTTTAATTTCATTTTGGATAATTGAAATTAACTTGCACTTGATCAACTAATTATACCTATATACAAATGATTTTTTATTTATACATATATGACTTAATCATTCAGCTTAGCTATAAAAAATGTGTTATACGTATTCTGAATCGCGCTTAATGTTTTTAATTCTTCTTAATATAATTGAATGTATGTCTTTTATTTATGATACCGAGTAAATGAGAAGTTGTATATCTGTAATGGTATCACAGTTTAATAAGATTTATTACTATAGCACCGCGTTAATGTAATCTCTAATCAAACTAGCTATATTTGTGAAAAGGGGGAAGAAATACTTACGGATCAATTGGCAAGCAGGTGTCGTTTAACCTCTCATAACCTTTATTGCATCGGCAATTATAAGGCTTCACACACTCTCCGTTATCACAGGAAGAGCAATACGGCTTGCAAATGGAACAATTACTTATTGGGACGTATCCCGTCCAGCAGGCGCACCGATCGGGAGAAACGCAAGAAGAATTAATACAAGTATCTTTGCACACTGCAACGCATGACTTGAGATCATCATCATAGGAGTATCCAGAATTACATTTGCATATCTCAGGTGCTGAACAATAACCGTTATTGCAAGGGTTACTACAAACCGGTACACATGTGTTGCTATCATTTTTGGTGTAACCTTTATTGCAATTGCATTTGTTTGGTTCGACGCACGCACCGTTTTCACATCTAATGCATTCAGGTTGACATTCAAATTGGCTACCATTTTTGAGTTTATATCCTGCGTCACATGTGCATTTTTCAAAGTCTGCGCAACTCCCGTTAGTACAGGGTTGGCTACATTTTGATTTGCAGGTAAAATCAATTGTGGTACGGTCACTGTAAAACCCAGTTCGGCAGAGTGGACCACAGTGGGTCTCATTGATATGAACCATACCTAAATTGCAAGTGCAGCTATTGAAGTCAGCGCATTTTCCATTGACACATGGTTGGCTACATTTCGATATACAGGTTAATTCATATGTGTTAGGGTCATTGTAAAATCCATCAGAGGAGGGTGGAGCACAGTGCGTTTCGTTGAGGTGAACCAACCCTAAGTTACATGTACAGCTATTGAAGTCAGTGCATTTTCCATTGACACATGGTTGGCTACATTTCGATATACAGGTTAATTCATATGTGTTAGGGTCATTGTAAAATCCATCAGAGCAGGGTGGAGCACAGTGCGTTTCGTTGAGGTGAACCAACCCTAAGTTACATGTACAGCTATTGAAGTCAGTGCATTTTCCATTGACACATGGTTGGCTACATTTCGATATACAGGTTAAATCAGTTGTGTTAAGGTCATTGTAAAATCCGTCAGAGCAGGGTGGAGCACAGTGTGTTTCGTTAAAATGAATCATACCTATGTTGCAAGTACAACTATTGTAATCTGTACAATTTCCATTAACACATGGGTGACTACATTTTGATTTACACATGAAATTAGCTGTAGTAAGATCGTTATAGAATCCGTTAGGGCAGAGTGGACCACAGTGTGTTTCATTGAGGTGAACCAACCCTAAGTTACAAGTGCAGCTATTGTAATCTGTGCAATTTCCATTGACACACGGTTGGCTACATTTCGATATACAGGTAAAATCAGACGTATTAAGGTCATTGTAAAGCCCGTCAGGACATGGTGGACCGCAGTGGGTCTCATTGAGATGCACCATGCCTACATCACAGGTGCAATTATCGCTCCCAGTGTATCGTGCGTTCACACATTTGATTTTAGCACAGACTGAGCCTTCTGGTATACATTTATCATAACAGAACTTATATTTATCACAGCATATGTACTTCGTAGTTGAAATGCGCTGCAATTAAAAATAGTGGCGATAATACTAATAAATAAATAATATTTTATGATAACAGTTATATGATTGTTACGTCTTTCTGTGTTCTGTGTTGTTTAACCATTTATACTATGAGTAGCTTGGTGATGTAGTAAATAAGCGCTGAGGCCCGCGATCGTTGTTGTTAATCAACTTACGTAAGGATCGATCACGGGATGGGACACCAAAAAAATATTATCTCGACTACGCTACTCCATGCTTCGGAAGGCACGAAGTAGCTCGAGATTTATTATCTTTATTTACCTGTTTGTTCGTACGTTGACATATTTTCTTCCCGTCTTCGCATACATATGTAACGTTAACAACGCGGTATCTGAAAGACGTATAAAAATGAACCTTATGGCACTTCAAGAATATAAAACGATCCCCTAGCATATGAATTATTACCAATTATTTGAAATTTGCAAGCCATATTTTGCGATGGCGTTTCTATCTTTCCTATATATTTTTTTTGTGTCAAATACATAATAAATTACATTGTTCCGAATTTGGTTAGTATTACAGTGTTTGGTTAGTATTTAAGCTAATGTTAGCATTTAGTATAGCTTATATTTAGCTTTTTACATAGTTATGTAAAAAGCTAAATATAAGCTATACTAAGAAACTAGTTAGTTTCTTTAATATTATTTTTAATGAAATATTGAAAATTTACTTGTCCTATCCACAACTTGAACACGAACAAATATCTTCGTTCAGGACAACACTTAGCTAACATTAGGTGACTCTACCTAATGTTAGCTAACTTTTTAATCTAAAAATAATTAATTGTAACATGATAAGTGTATCGCGTTGATATATTTTTTATTTAAACCTATATGAAAGCTTTCTACATTATAAGTTTTTTAAACTAAAATATACCAAATCATCTACGAAATTATATTTATAGTATTTGAACGAAAGACTTATTGCAAGAAAATTGACACGAGTAGCTATTTAAAGATTTTACCTATCATTAATTATATCTCTATTATAATATTTTGATAAATTAGCATTTCAATTGTTTGGGTTCATAATTTCAATACCTCAATTTCAAATCTAGTTAACGTCACATAATAAATCACACATTTAATTTCAGCACAGACTGAATGGAATGTAACTATTGGGACATTTATTTTACATATAAGATTAAAATTAAATAATGACAAAAATGACCTTCAGCTCCAGACGCTAGTTTTTATTAGTCACAATCACTAATTAACTAGACAAAAACATTTCTTACTTTGGACGGAGATCGGTAAATTCGCATACTGAAGGGTCCCCCGGGTGCAAATCACAAAACACGAAACCAATGAAACCAAATAATAATATCACTGCAGTTTTAAACTCCATGACATTTAATGATATCCCATTCAATACTGGTCAAACTAATGCATACTGTATATAATTTGTTTTATCAGTAAAAAATCGGGTGGACCATACAATTTAATTAATTACTATTAATTAAATATGGCCATAACTTTGACATTGTAATTTTTATGTTTGAAAACTGAACACGGCTTAGTAAAAAATATATGGTTTAATTTATCACTGAAATAAAGAAATTCGCAATTTATTGTAGATGTGTTTGTTCTAATCCTCAATTGAAACACGTTCACTTGTATGTCAGGAGAGTCTGGTAATTTTTGTCATCAATAAATAGACAATACTGGTAATTATATGTTCCTTTAAATTTTCATGGTCATTTATATTTGAATAATTGTGAAATACGTATTTCAGAATCACTGAATATTATGTCACCTTAAAGTCTACTGGTTGCACGTATGTTATATTAAATTATTCGATGTACGTAGTTTATTGCTGTTATTATTACATATATTATCCAGTTTTGAAATGAACTATTTAATTGATTAAATAGTTCATTTGATACACAAGACAATGTCCTTAAAAAAGTATGTGATTTTGATTGTAGAGGGCACCATATATCCTCAAGCTAATCCTGATATCTTTATACCTCAATTATTATAATAAAGAAGGGAGCAGATGCCTGTCAAAATATCCTTTTTCTCAACGCGGTATTCGGGTAAAGATAGTACTTATGGAATCTACTTTCAATGTAGGTACGTCTATTTAAATAATAAAAGTGAACTCGCGTGAACTTAATTTATTTTGCCAAACATATTTGTAACAAAATAATATGACAATAATGAACAATATGAAAATATAAATAATTAAAACCATGTAACGTGGCCCCATTTATCATTTGTCCCATTCACAAATCAGTTTAATCCAGGTAATCATCAAACAAACAATTAACTCAAATGAACCTCTTTCTCTCTGATATTTTTTCAAAAGTTCATTCAAAATACATTTACTTATTTTATATCACTTGTTATAGTAATTGAACTTCAAGAGCTTTAACAATGTAATGCTAATTCATTATCATATAATTTATCAATAAGTAGGTAGGTATTAGTTACAACAGCCAAACATTTTTGTAAAGTGGCAGTCCTTTTATACTTAATACTAGTTAATGATTATATCATAAAATAAAATTACTTTCTTAAATAAATCTAACACCACATGTAAATTAAATACAGTACAGACAGTTTCAGATCAACTCAACTCGATATAAGTAACAAGTCTTATTTAGAAATAATGAATTCTCAGTGCGTTTATCCATACTTTTTCATTTTTTTCGACAAATGTGGTATTCTGAGTGATTTTTAATTTTACTCCCACAACGGTGATTCGTATTGTCGTTTCTATTGTCCTCGTAATAAGGTCGATTACATCTTCTCCACGTACTCATGCGGTGATAGGAGGTCTAAATTTGTTTGTCTATGTTCTACCTCATCATAATCTCCGTCATTTTCTTCATCATCATATTTTTGTCGTATCAATGAGTTAGGTATCGTATGCATAATACTGTCGCACGTGCGGTCTAAAATTAAAAACAGACAATAAAATGAATTCATCTTTCAAATACGAAACCAGATAAATGGTGAAACCAGCATAAATAGTAATGTTTTACTGGTGATTATAATGAAAAATAGGGGTAATTTATTGTCTTTTTACTGTAAAAATGTTACAATAGGCCTAATAATATAGCTTTAATTACATTTCTGCTGATTGATTCTATAAATTGTACTGAATAAATCCAAAAATAGAACATTGTTGGAAATCTAGGCAAGTCTTCAACAGTGTGTAATAACTGCTAGAATTAAGTGTATCTATTAAAATACTTATGTTTATTTTTCTTTATATTACTCTGTTTATTATCGGCCCTTCGGGGCAAGGCAGAGTACCGTATGTCTCAGCATATTATGGTATCGCGTCCTTGATCATATGGCTGCTCGCCACGTAACTGTAATATGTTAAATTTCTGCAATGGGTTTTGAACTCTACCGTCAGATTAAGGTTTAAATCGAATGGGAATATTTTGACAGTTTGTATGATATAACGTGCTGTTGATTGTATAATAAAATAAACCACGTTTTTTTATAAAACAGATTCTATTATATGAATGTCTGTAATTTTCTAAACCATAACAAATCAAGTATACAAAACTAATAAACACTTTGCTTACTATAAAATGTTAAAATTTACATCAAATAAATCTAAAGTCACTTACAATCGTCACCGTTGGCTTTTTGTTCGAACTGTTTTCTCTGCCTCCAAGTGCGTTGTATGATGACCAAAACGAATACAAGCAACAAAATACCGAGTGCTCCACCTAACATCCACGTCAGTTGGAGACCAGCTAGTCTGCAATTACAAATGAATAACATTAAATAGTCAGTTCTGCAATTACTATACGAAATGGGTGTACGATGGGTGAAAAATTGATCTCAGAAATAGTCTTATATTGGCTATCACGAGTGAATCGTCGGCTGTTCGATTAAATCTAGTATACATTTTTAGTAATATGAAACTATAATTATAATAGTATACATCTATTACACAAAATATGAAAACCTTAGAAGCATAACAACGCCTCTCCGACTGACACAACTATTATATTCACTAGTGATGACGAAAAGTCTCAGCTCATATAAAACAACTATATAAATATTACCCTAATTGCATATAAAAAAGCTTATAATATCCTTACGTCGGACTGGATGCGACGATAGCCTCCTCGGTTGATAAAACACATAATGCGCCATTAGCGCACGCGCATATGCTCTCATTACATGTAGGTTCACATCCTTTGCAGTTTCTCCTGAAAAGAAATATAAAGATTTGATTCAGTCTCAAACATTACCACCACTAATGCTTTGTTGAAAAAATACCATTTCGAATACTTACAGTGGTATTAACTCACAAGTATTGTTATGCCTCTCATAACCTTCTTTGCAACGACAAAGATTTGGTGCGATGCAGTCGCCGTTAGCACAGGTGGAGCAATAAGGTACACAACTCGCACGGTTATTAATACTGATGTATCCACTCCAACATTCACATTTATCAGGAGATATACATGAGGAATTGACACATGTCTCTTTGCACACCGCAATGCAAGATTTGAGAACCTCGTCATAGGAATATCCAGAATTGCATTTACATTGATCAGGCGCAAAACAGTAACCGTTTTCGCATGGATCATTACAAACTGGCACGCAAATGTCGCTATCATTTTTGGCGTATCCTTTATTACAGTCGCATTTGTTTGGTGCGACGCATACACCGCTCTCGCAATTCACGCATTCCGGTTCACATTGAAATTTACTACCAATTTTCAACTTGTAACCTGTGTTGCACGTGCATTGGTCGAAGTCTGTGCAAGTTCCGTTAATACAAGGTTGATGACATTTGGATATGCAATCTAGTGTTACAGTTGAAAAGTCATTATAATAGCCATCAGAACAAGCTGGACCACAATGGGTCTCGTTGATGTGAACCAATCCAGGATCGCATGTGCAATTGTTGAATCCAGTACATTGCGCGTTGACACAAGGTTCTTCACAAACAACATCGAGTATGCATTTTCCCTTGTAAAACTTATATCCGTCGCAGCATATATTTTTCTTCGTTGGCACCCACTGAAATTAACATGATAATTTTATATAACATTTCATTGGCAACGACAAATTTCTCAGTAATGTTAACAATTATGAAATGCCATTACAAAAACTTTTTGTTTCACTGTGTTTACAACAGAGACCTTTACTTTTAAAAGCTTTTGAAGCTTAAACCAAGATGACAACAGTAATTTGTACGTAAAAACAAATAATAGGTGTGACACAAATTATAAAAACAATAAATATGGATCTAAATCATATTCAGAGAATATTGTGATATAATATGAACAAAACAAAAAAATTTAACAATTTAATTAATTAAAATCTCGTTGTCAATTTGTCTCACCTTGCGTTCCACACGGGTGCACTTTTTCCGTTTTCCACATCCATAGGTCTTTTTAATACTCTGAAGTTGACTGAAAATGAGAGACAATAATTCAATTAGAGATGATTTATGATTACACATAATCAGAGACAAAATATTGGATTGAGTCATTCCTGAAAGGAAATTCGATAATCGTAACGCTAGATGGAGGATTTATCGCACTTTGACCAATGAAACAATTTTTTCAAGAGCAAGATCCGTTCAAACTGCAAATATTTTATGTCCGTATATATAGGATGAACGGATTTGCACTACATTAATATATAACTAGCTTAACATTAAATAGAAATATTAGAATCGACATCATTTTTGAAAGCAACCGTAACACATTTAATGTTAAACATGAGAGTTTACTTTATCGCAATAAGAACTAACGGTATATAATTTCTGAATAAAAAATATTCAGAAATTATCCAACATGTAGTTAGTATGTAAAATAAATTGTTTTGAAATTGCAAAAAGAGATTATTTGTAAGTGGAGCAATAAAATTGACAAAATAATAAAAAAATACCTATCTACAAAGTTGTTTAGAAGATTGTATGTTCGAGAACTTTACCGATTCGATGAAAATAATCACATTATCCTACCTAACAATTTCCGTGCACACTGCGGTATCTCCTTCCCTAAGCTCATCTTCTCCGCATAGCACAACCTCCAGAAAAACAACCACGAAAAATATAAACACCGTTTTTAATTCCATTTTTTATAATGTTCTTGGTAACATGATTTATGGTTAAGCGTTGCACTAGCAATGCGGTCGTGTGCTCAACACATACTTCAACACTGCTATTGGTCCTTATCAATACTTCCTGTGGAATAACGCTGTAAATTAAATGCCGCTAAGTAATTATTAATTAAATATAAATAATTATTTATTTAATTCCTCGTTTACTATTGTTATGGCGAAACTATGCAGGATTCTGATGCCATCACTTATCTTGTTGAAACGTGATCGAGTTAGGGATTCAATTAATATTAATAACAGACTTTAAAGGTCCTTAGTTGAGGATAATTTTGTAATTTGCGCTGATAAGAAGCAACGATAAAATAAAATATTATTAAACCTCGAATAAACATACTGAGCTAATTGTATTTTGAAAGCTATAAAAATATCACCAGTAGGGAATATGAGTATTTTTTTTTTATTCATCAGGTAGATTATTTAAAAATATTAAACACTTATTTTTCGTCTCCAATAAATTACGACGATGCCTTAAGATGTAACGTCACAGGACCTTGCACCTTTAAATAGAATAGCTACATTGTTATCATGTTGAGCCTTTCCTAAACTTTAATGCCTATCTAATTCATTCCTACATTCAAGTTATTATAATTACTCTTTAACTAAAAGCAAAAATTATATAGCTAAGTTTTTTTTCTATTATCTGATTGACTGACTCAATATAATTTCCGTATTTTAACCTGGCATCATTCCTATTGCTGTGGTGTACTTTATACATTTTAATGACTTTCTCGTTTTATCCCAGTGTGTATAATAAAAAATACTATTTACTCGTATATCACAAATGGAAGTGTGTTGGCATGTCCTTCTTTAATGACACAACGGAGCGCTCGGGTTACGATATGATCTTTTATGTGGATATAGAAGAGAGCTATAACTGCCTAAGTTTCGCTGGTTAAAGATCAAGTCACCAAGTCAAATTTGTCATAAACCTTAACTTCATTTTCAACCTTTAACCACGCGTTCGAGTATGTAACAGATACATAGAGTAATCAAATTATCAATTTAAAGTTCTTATACACTGAAATCACTGAGTATTAAATTTAATCCGTCTTTTGTACAACGCTTGTATTGGTCAATAAAGTTCAATAAATATTTCTCTAACGAGATAGTTATTAAAGTATTCAAATTTTTGTTTTTTGACTGGGAAATATTAGTATTATAACTAATATTTGTGTGGCAGTTATAAAAGCAAAAAAAATAATTTATATTGTATGAAAGAAAATTTAAAATTCAGATAGTGTTGAAGACAATTGCCTGAAGCAGGTTTTGAATATTTTGCCATGCTGAGGCTGGCTAATATGTTTTAAAGATTATTCATTTCAAACAAACAAAGAAACACTCTTTCCTTATAATATAATATTAGTAAAAGTAAATATTAAAATAAAGTAATGGGAAAATTATCTTATCTATTAATAGATAAAACAACCTACAGCTACGGGTTATCCTTTTAAACAAAAAAGAATTTATCACAATGGGTCCACTGGTGAACAAGATATCGAGGAACATAGATACATGCAAAAATTATACTCCGTCTAATTTAAAGTCGATTAAAAAAAGATATACAATTCCCTAATCAAACTCTCATAACTGGCTCGACACTTTTTAACTTAACTTGCACAGAACACAGACTACACTGATCAGTGTCCAATAGTGTTTACATTCGGAATATAAACTCCCGACTATAAACACACGCTGTGTTTTACGAGGCGATGCGTTCCGAATTTTTTTAGCCACTTTTATATTCATTTCATGCACATGTCGATAAGCTTTCAGCGAGAGATTTAAAAAAAATGACCTATATTTCTATAATAACAGCAGTCCTAATATAAAATTCTTTACGTGGGGCCTTAGCTATCTATTTAAACCAGAGTTTATCGCGGTATTGGTAAAATATTACCTAGCTAATTCGTACTTTGACCTTCTTAAGAGTTTATATCAATATTGTTTCCGTTGGAAGTCCGTTTCTTCATAAATAGTAAATAGTAGCGAATATAATATGATATAAGTTTACATTTTTTGACCCAGCTTTTTTTTTAAGTAATTTTTTTTCCTGTTTGTTGTTGTGACTAGAAATATTTTTTATAAATAAACTACAACTTTAATGATTCGTAATGAAAAATGATTCTTATTGACCACAAAAGTATCGTAAGAAATCCGAGAAACTTATTTGAACTGAAAAGGTTATAAGCATGCTCAACAAATCACCGCCTAAATAAAATTACCTACGAATATATTACGATATTTTGAAGACAGTTTTAGTTTTTTTTTAATTATTTCTTTTCATTCCTGCTGAAAAAATTTATAAAATAATTTTGAACTCAATCAATCAAATCAATGGGAAACAAATTCAACAGATTTAGATAAGCCTAAATCTAACGAACTATAGATATTTCAAATCAATTATCATTCTAATTTCGTATCAATTTGAAGTCGTAAAACTTGAAAACAAAAACAATGGGTAATGGAAGATAATCTGAATATCTCAAAACTAACGGACTATTAGATATTCAAATCATGACATTATACACTTAGTAATCTAGGCTTGGCTTGTACTTTGCTAATATAACTTACAGCCAATGATGTCTACAGAGTATTTTATTTCAGAGAACAATGACATTTTGCATTCGCCAGACATCCTTCCGGGGCGCGCCGTGACTGGCGGCGCTTCTGTAGCTACAATACTTTACCACAGGGCTGCCAATGCTGCCAATAAATTTTGAGAGAAATTCAACAACTAATTCTTAAAAGTAGAACTAATGGAAGCAAAGTTCTGTTTTAAGAAGATGGACCCTATAAGAGAAGTAAGCAAGTCAAATTTCGTAATACATTTTGGCTTCTTATATTTGGTGATATCTTTCAAAATTTTAAACTTTTAGGAGACTTTCCCAGTACATATTTATGATTTTATAAATCCATTAGATGATTATATTTTGCAAATCTCTTAAACTGATATTATTTTTCTATATGAATGACATGACTGCATTCTTTAATTACTCTTTTAGTTTTTACAATGACTTTCTACTCTATAATTTCTGCTCTTATACTTTACTACTCTTTTACTTTTGCCAATGACTTACTCCTCTGTTGGACTAATGGTGGGATTTTGATAGCCCAACTTGTGGTTCGGGTTACATGTTCTAAAAAAATAGTGTTAAATTCTACTTAAATTGCATAATTTTAGTGGAGTTTTATTCAATTTAGTGTAATGTAAGTGCACTATTGTAGGGAAGACAAAATTTGAAACCTTTGTTGTGATATCTTGTGTTGCTCCATTACTCCGCTTGACATGGTTTTGGTGTTGTTCCACCACTATACCTGAACTGTTGACATGACTGACGAACGGACTATGACTTATTTGAAACATTTTGAGCTCCATTTGGGCAAAACTTCATACGATTTATTTACTTAATACTGGCTATATGTACAAACCGTGCTAAGCCATAGAGAATACTCCGCTGTAGTTTATAACTTAGAATTTTTTTTTGTTTTGTCTGGAATGTTCGATTTCTCCAGCTACAAAAGCCGTGTCAACTGTACATTTCGGGTCAGTTATCAAGATTATACTTCAAGAAGAAACTGTTAGTTTTAAAATTCAGTGGTGAACAGTGGTGAGGTGCTGTCCATCGCGTATCGTACCGTCTCCGAAATGTATCGTACCGTTTCCGTCACGTACCGTACAGTATCCATCAATATCAACATCGATACGGGTGTAGACAGTAAACGTTTTTCTTTTTTGTGACCGCAAACAGCGCGTAACTTCACTCACACCCTTCTTACTCTTATTAGAACTTAGAGAATTCAACCTCATTATACATAGAACAATATTCGTTTCAGAGTGCCGTGACGTCATAGCGACGCCATGACAGAAGTGACTTTTTCGGAGGAATTTTTGAAAATTGAATTTATTTTTAGATTTTGACTTATTATATGAATGAGATATTTTTTTATATACCTATATTTCATGTATATTTATAAAATAAAATAAATATCTACACTCCTTTTGCCGTCAGCGAACTCTCTACTTTTTTATTTATGTATCATATTTTTTTTATTTTATGTATTTTAATTTATTTTATTGATACAAAACTATTTTGGCGGGACTGAACATATTGATAGTGGCTCGAGCTTTTATTAAAAACCGGATTTAAAAAAAACGGATTTTGCAATCCCTACACAAAGTTATTCATCCAATATTAGTTCTATAACAATGTTGGCGTTACGTTTACTTATATCACAACTATAAATGTTCTATATTTTCTATTTCAAAATTAAAATAAGAAAAGATACATCACACTAACCAATTCCTTTTTAACCGACTTCAAAGTGGAAAAGGAGGCGATGTGTGTTGTTTTATTCTACTACTTTGCGAATTTGTAGTTAACTGAAACTTACACTATGTCAAACATCAAGTACATCATATATTTTATATTTGTAACATATTAATTACATTAAATCTTTTGAATTTAGCAACCCTATTACACAAACATTCAAGTGTTGTGCAATTCTTGCGCATAAACGTCAAAAGATTGATTTCAATCGTCACTTGGGCGGTCGTAACTCGCACAATCGAACCGTTATCGATCGAGAAATCCATCCTCCATAAGGCAATCTTAATTGCTCGTTGCACTTTTACGAATTTTATTTAGTAGCCTACTGCAAAATATTATATTCGATCTGCTAACCGGACACTGCGCTTGGAATAAGCATTCATATTAATTAAATATAATTAAACATACTAAGAAATATTATAAAGAGGGAAGATTTGATTTATTTTGTTTGTTTGAATTATAAGGATTTCCTCAAAATTATTTGACCTATTCTAAAAGTTCTTTCACCGATATAAAACAGAGTTATCGACGAGATACATAGGTCATATCTATTAAATTAAATTACAAAAATAACTTTCTGAATGCCGAGTTGGTGTCCGTGGCAATGCCCCAAAGTAGGTATTATGTGAGCGTCCAAAATAAACCATACGTTTGCGCTGTCTATACATAGATAGATTATATGTACGTTGTTATTCGGGGTGAGGTCAGCGACCTATAGCGTCCCGTACAATAAAAAGCAGAACTTCGCGAAAACGATACAGAAATGGGCATGCAATGGGTATAATAAATATATATATATATATATATATATATCATTTAAGCGTATAATGTAGAATTATTTATTATCTAACTGAAAATTCGTTAATGTGTGATTCATTGCATAACTGAAGTCTGTTATTCAGCAACGGTGTTTTTACCCTAAGAGCAAAAGGGTCATGGCTCAGCGCAGCGAGTTAAAAATAATTTTTTTTCATTATCTAATGATAAATCATAGGAATCATAGAATTCCAGCGGGTTCTATGAGTGGTCGAAACACGTGACGTGACCACATTGTTTTTCCTGTTGATAAAATATATGTGTAACTTTATAGAGCTATAATGGAAAACATTGTTACAGGATAAACTGTTGCTGTAATACTGATATTGTAGCGATATATAGAATTAACTGAAATGTTGTTGTTTTACTTTAGATAATAATAGGTAATTCATTTATTTATTTATTTTTTAGGTCAGTCAACAAGTTTACGCATTAACATGTTCAAAACTATTGAACCGATTTATTGAAATGTGACGTGTTCCCTTAATTGGAAGCTAATTAATAAAATGTGATCCGTGTCTCATTTGCGAGATACGTGGACAATGCAGACATACACAGACTTAAAAAAATTAAAACACATGTTAAGAAACTAATAATATAGGTAAATATATATGAAGTACAACGAAATTAAAAACATAGGTATAACCCCTTTTTGAGGTCGGTTAAAAATATTGTGTGGTAAGCAAAAATTAAACAAAGTGAGTACTAAAAAATAATATTTTGAAATTTTTACATTAACTAGAAAAACAAATTAATTTAAATTTAGGACACTAGCTCTATCTATTTACAGTAAACTTAATGGAACCATGAATTTGCGCCTACCAATCTAGCGACATCTGTTGAAACATATTTAAACTACATACATAACCTTCATACCATAGCATCTCGTCTGTATCAAAAAAAAATTTTACCTGTAAACACAATCTCCTACTACACTTTTATCGCCCACTGTTTAAATGTTTATGTAAATACCTAGTATTTTGTACCCTACCTAGTATTTAGGAGAAATAAAAATCAATATTGCCATTTACTTTCAAATTCTACCGCTTACTTTACATAATATAAAACTTTTATATATTATATAACTTTGAGACACTGAAAGCTTCACAAGAAACTCATTTTTAGGGATGTGATCATGAAACTTTATTACGAAATTGGATCAAAATCTTTCAATTACTAATCATGATTTTAACTTTATGCATATTATTTATCATGATAATATTATTGATATCTTATTATTAGGAGCGTTCAGTAACCAGCAAAAAATATATTTATACGTCACACACCTTTCTATTTACTTTGTAATTTTTTTAATATCGTTACTAAATTACAATATCCGTTACAAATTTGACTTAGTGGTTCAATAAGTACAATCAGATTATACAAAACTATCAAATACCTTCACTTGATTTGAAACTTTAATACGTTGAGAATAGAATAGAGTAAACCTAGATGCCTAGCCGTGTGTACTTTAAAAAAATATTTTTTGGGTTTTTCACATTGTTTTGTTCATAAGGCTATCAAAATCCTTGAAACTTCATCAGCTTTAAGCAAATTTAAGATTCAAAATCGATTGAAGTAATTTTAATTTTGTGGGGGTAATCTAACGTTTACTTCTTTACTTTTCAAAAATACAAATACCTAACGTAATACAAGTAAGTATGACTTTTGAAAAATATCATGTACGAAAAAACTTATGCTATGATTCTACAGGAAATGCGTAATCGCGAGGCACGTCACAACACAGGAATATAATAGGGATGGATATAAAAATTCATATCGATATTAAAAATAATTAAAATGGAATGCAGCATTAAAACTGATCTGGTTACAAATACGAAGTCAATAGTAATCAGCTCGCGTAGCATGACGAACTCGAGTTTTGTCTATTTATTTATTTTATTTTATTTTATTTTTATTTGATTGGTACATAAAACAGCCACAGGCCAATACAAATGTACACAACTAGCTTAAATATTATTACAACAATGTTTTAACCATTAAACAAAACAGAAGTTGTAAAATCAGCTCGATAACAAAAGTGAGAGGAATCGAGTTTAAAAGATGCATTGAGAAAAGCATGACAATCATGCATTGCATAACAATGAGAAAGAAATATATATATATATATATGTCGTAAAGTCGTGCGGGGCCGGCGGAATATATATATATGTGTATATATATATATACGATACATATATACACACATATATATATATATATATATATATATATATATATATATATATATATATATATATATATATATATATATATACATATATACACACAACAAAAAATATAGATACATACCTTCATTATTATATTAATATTATGCTTGCCCTACTTGCAAACATGCACTGCATAATCTTGGAAAGAAAATATATATATATATATATATGAATAAAAAAGAAAAAATATTAAAGAAAAAATATTTTTCCACGTATACACTTATTCCCATACACACATAAACGTACTCAAATGTTTCCATAGTTAAGTTCAAGTTTTAGTTTGGTTAGGTGGAGGTAGAAGAGTCAATTTTATGCCTTTTTTAAAAAGTTCCCTTGTCCCAAAGAAAATTCAAATCTACATTCAAGATCAGAAGTCTACATTCAAATGTCACTTTTCTCGGGTGCGCCCATACTATATCTCACTCTCGACCCGAGAAACTGACAAATGAGTGTAGACAAAGCGTTTCTCGAGTTTGTCATGCTACACGTGCAGTTCACAGATGAATATAAAAAAGAAATCGTAGTGCGCTTTAGAAAAAGAAATAATAGTCAATTTCGTAAAGTATTATTTAATGATCGATTACATAATACTTTAGTATAAGATTGTATAAAAAAAACTTGCTGAGATACTAAAATTAATAGCTAAAGCTCTTCTATATCTTAAAAAAAACAATTCGGGACAATAAAAAACCATCTCTGCTCCCTACGTTGACCCAATCGAGATTCGTCTCCAAGATCTCAGATATGGCCACTCTTCATATTGTCCATGCGTGCATACTATTCGGCCACAGAGGCAACTATATAGGTTAATTATTTACATGTTATTACATTGAATTGTCCATCTCAATTTAAGGACTTTAAAAAACTCTACAACAAGGAATAAATAATTAATTCTGTAAATCGTAGTCTGTATTTATCGCTGTTACCTGTGCATTGTCAATTTTTATAAGAATTCAATAGGCGTATTTCTTCTTTTATATCATTTATCTTTGTTAAATACTTATAATCAAAATAATGGTAATGTCTTTTTCACAGTTTGTTTTGTTTATAGTTGAATATTGACGGGTACTTGTATAAATATATTTATATTCAGTTTAAAGTATATTGGCATGTCGATAAACTATTCTCAGTTACACTATACTGATGATGAATAGAATAAAAACATTTGTATAAACTATTGTTAATTTAGATATGTAATGACGTAAAAATACATGGCACTATGGACAAACCTTAGAGGTTTTTATAGTGTCATTTAAACGATAACATTGTATATAATTGTTTGTATTGCTAAATAATAAAAAAATATCGACAAATTAATCCCATCCCTAAAACGGACAATGCGTGTCACCTATTTCGCATGCGTACTGTGATCGGCCATCCTGCATTCGCGATAATACAAACTTGATATCAGATTCACATGCCAATCTTATGAATTTAAATACAAGCAGAAACCTTACATTGTATGTTAATAAAAACTTTTTTAATTATTAACTTACTTAATCATTATTAAAGACTCTTCAATTCATATATGTATATTAAATATGAAAGCTTACATGACGCAATGGTTAACTAATAAAGTTAATGACACCATTTTTAATGACATTCCAAATCATAAAATATGAGTCAATCCATTGTATATTAATAAATTTAATCGTTTGTTGTTAGTAATAATTTTAAGACAAAGGGTCGATATTAACTTAATGACCTGCCTGATTTCGAAATTATACCACCTTATAGAAGGCAAAGAGAATGTGTCTCCGCTAATGGAAATCAAAAGTGGAGACAAACGTATTTGTAATATAGTAAAAAACATACAATATTATATCAGATCCTACCCAAACAACTGTTCAAATCCAATTATTTAACTTTACAGTTAAATTTTCATTTTAGTGTTACATTTCAAATGTATAAGAAATATTCAATCGCTCTTAATAGTTAAATTTTAAAACAAATTAGATATTGTCACATACATTGTGCAGATCCAAAACTTGATAATGATAATAATAATATTCTTTATAGCACGCTAGACAGGACATAATACAGAGAAGATAGAAAAAAGAGAAAGATTACAAAGGGCGACCTTATTGCTACGTAGCAATCTCTTCCAGGCAACCCGAGGCAAAGAAAAACATGAACTATATAATAAAAAGAGGGGGTACAAGATGGAGAAGTAAATAGATAAATCTGTATAATGTAACATAGTAAATAAAATAGATAAAGATAAAAAGTAATTAAACATAAACATATTAACAGTTTTCAAGGAAGTGTGTTTTTAATTAGTACCTAACTACTTATTTTGTATAACATTAACTTTAGTAGCAAATGTACCACTACCTCCCAGGTCTGAGATAATATAAAAAAAGTCATTTTCAACAATACCCGATCGAGAATCGAACTCTGAAGCTGAATGGAACAGATACTGTCTAACTCGATCACAAAGCGTCAGCAGTGACGAATAATCAGTATAAAAATCTTAGATTCTCCGTACAATCGTCCTTTGAACTATCATTATCAGCTCTTCTAAATCCCCACTTCAGGGGCTGAACCTCTCCTTATGCCTTCCTTATGGATGGTTAAGGAGGACCGATCCGTTGAATTAAACTAATTCAAAAAGAAACAATGTAGGTAAGTACTTTAAATCAATACTTACAGTACAGTAGTGTCACAAACTCCAACTCCATGTAGATTGCAGGTTTCACACTCTTCGCCCAGCTTGTAGCATACATGAGGATGAGTTTCATTTTTCTGATAGCCTTCATAACACGTGCAAACATTCGGTTCACTGCAGATGCTGTTCACACACGAGCTATTGCAGACAGCCTCGCAAGTACCATTCACTTTCGTATAACCCACGTCACATTCGCAGACACCGGCCGATACACAGACACCGTTTATACAATCGTCACAGTTCGGTTCACAATGAGTGTCATTAATAGCAATAAAACCTTCAAAACAAACACAGGTATTTGGGGCTTCGCACTTCGCGTTGACACAATCTTTACATTCCGGGATACAAGAATTGTTTTTCAGAATGTACCCTGAAGCACATGAACAGATGTTCGGGGCAACACAGCTTCCATTGACGCAAGGGCTATCACATTTTGGGACACAAGTGAAATTATCTTTAAGAATATATCCTGGAGAACATGAGCATACATTCGGTGCAGTACAAATCCCGTTGACGCAAAGACTGTCACACTTCGGAGCGCATTCGAAATTCGAATTGATATCATATCCGTGATCACATTTGTAGCAGTGTGTTCTGTTGAATACTTGGAAGTCATGTAGGCAAGCGCACGTGTTGTTTGATGAGCAATTGGCATTAACACATGGTGCATCACAAACTGGGGTCAGGCAAATGTTCGGGTGGTCAGGATCGAGACGCGCAGGCGAGTCACATTGGCAGATCTCAGGGGCAACACATCGCCCTCCTTGGCATCCGGCGCTGCAGAGAGGGACGCACACATCCTGATGCGATTGGTACTGCCAACCGCTGCAGCACATCATCAGTTCTGACGTTACCACGTAGGGCTGGAAAGGTAATAAATAATTCATTTAAAAACTGATTGAGGAACTAAAAAGTGTTCATAAAGTTTTTATAAATAATTTACAAGTTATTTAGAAAAATAGATTTACATTGAACATTCCATCTACCCCTGATCTCCGAAACTGTTGAACCAAATATTTTGAAAAAAATATCCTGAAAATGTTTTTAACACTTAAATTAAAGAAAAATGTATGAAAAATCTATGTTTTTTTAATAATTTTATATCTGTACGGAGCATCAGGGAATTCTCTAGCCGCATGTGAGCCCGACTCACTGTTGGCTGGTTTTTTTTTCATTTATAATAAATCACACCAGCCCTTTTAAGTCCCCACTGCAGGGGCTCAGGCCTTCCTTATGGATGGTTAAGGAGGATGGGCCATGACCTTCCACGCTGGCCCAATGCGGATTGGAGGGTATTCACGACTGCAAATGCAGCCGGGACCAACGGCTTAACGTGCCTTCCGAAGCACGGAGTAGCTCGAGATAATAATTTTTGGTCACCCATCCCGTGACCGACCCTTGCGAAAGTTGCTTAAGGACTACGATCGCGGGCCGCGGCGCTTATCCAATACGCCACCGAGAACTAAGAACGATAAGAACTAAATACGTTGTTTACACACCTGATTCCTAAAAGCTTTCACGATACATTTCCTGATGCCGCACCATTTATTCGTATATCTAGTGTAAGATATTCTCTTTGTTTTCTTTGAGCTGAAATCGGAATTATAAATATATTTAACAGTAATCTCGATAGACACTTATCGATAATTAGAAAAAGCAATAGCCTAACATTTTTTTGCAAACTGAGTTACAAAAAAAATAGTGAAAATTATTTACTATTTCTCTGTAACTCTAGCTGGTTTTTTTGAAGCATTTTTCATTAGAAATATAATATTATAACTAGGAAATAAAATATTATTATATATCCAAACTCATCTGGTTAAAATTAAAAAAAAAATCGAGATTCTAAATTATGAAGTTGAATATTATACCTGATTTTGACAACGCAGACACCTTCATCTCCTTGAGATAAACCAGACACATCTCCAAAATACTCAGTCACCAACAATAGTATAAAACAAAGCACAATCTGCTTAAAAAACATTTTCGCTAAATCTTACATTTAAAAAAGTTAAAATTCCAAAAAGTTTCAACGCTCGTAAAAAAAAAAGTTTGTAACACAAAAAGTTCTGTTATGTCTTTAATTGTTTTTTTTTTCACACCACCATTTCGTTTCGAATGCAAATACACTATGATGAATTATCGCTCAATCTACTTAAAAATGCCCATATCATTATTTGTCAATTGTTGACTCATAATGTGCACGAATAAGCTCCTTATTACTAACATGAGAAGTATCTTTTTATTATGACAATACTTCGAGGGAAGTATGAAAGTTTTGCATACGACTTCGCTCATTAAATATACATTAACAAAATATTTTATTCATATTGGAAAGACAATTATATTAATATATTAAATAGATGAATATAAAATACAAGCTTATAGTAAAAAATCCAACATTTCTGTTAAAAATTCAAGAAATTTGAAGTAAACATTTTATCGTGTACATCTTGAGATATCCATCTGCTATAAAAATTTACTCTCAATAAATTTAATGTTTTGATAAAATATCGATAAGTTTTATAAAATATTTTGTTTTAATAAATTTGCATTCGCTATATTTATATTTATGTATATTATTTAGGTGATTGGCTACATGAGGCTGTCGAAACTTAAAGTATATTTTGTTTATTTTTTGAATTTCTTATTCGGTATACTTTTAAAAAAGACTTATAATACAACATTTATATCCTACCTACATGATGAGTTTGTCTAGTAATATTAATCGATCAACCAAAAGTTTTATAAGATCTTTTAAATACAATTTTTTATTGTAAACCTCCATGGGCATTAACATTAGAATGATTACTAAAAATGGGATTACTACCATGTCCCTTATATTGCATAAGTTCCCAATATTTCAGCGCAAGCGCCATGATTACAGATTTCCTCCTATTTTTTTAGTTTAATAATTTATTACATAATACACAAAGTACAAATTTGTTATATAAGTTTACAGATAATGTACTACAATGTAATACCCTGAAAAGGTGTTGCGATTTAAGGTAGCATTCATATAAAATAAAAATATAATAGAATAAAGATATTTTTTTTTATTTAAAATTAAAAAGAGACAATGATATCTTATAGTAACAATTTTACTTTTAAACTTAATATATATTTTTTAATTTCTATGGAATTTAGGACCCTAAAAAGTTTAATTAAATATTCTATCAATTCACATAAAAATGATATAAAAGGTACATCAAGCTTTTTTTAATATAGACAATGTATTTGATTCCATGAAACAATTTTAGCTGAAATTTTGAAATACATATCAACAAAACGAACGGACAACACAATGTAATTATTGTTATATAAGTTCACAGAAACTGAGGTCAACAGTAGCGCAGTGAACTACTGTGATAACACTTTCAAACAGAGTGAACTATCTCTCTCACCATAATGTGATATAAATACTGCTTACTGATAACACTTAAAAAAAATGAAAAGTTTTATTGTGTCCCTTGATAACATTTCTATCGTTAATGGGCACACTATATTATATTGGATATTAGCACAACTTTTTTGTGTAATAACCTATTAGCAAATAAGGCAATTAAACTCATAACTTTCAATTACAAATCATTATTTACAAATTTTACGTTTTCTACCTTATATAACTCTTATTAAGGTCTATATAGTAGAGCTTTTCTATTAGAATAGACCTTTACATATTTTAAATCTTTTGTATTTAGGATTGAATTTAAAAATCACATCAAAACGCGCCATCTACTACTTAATTACTAAACTAAGAGCTTTATCCTCCTAGAATATTTCTAATCAATGCCATGCACACCCACCACGCGGGCCTTGTTAGGATTAGTGGGTGTTAGCGACTGCAGGTGCAGCCGGGGCCAATAACTTAATGTAACTTCCGAACAATACATTTTCACCCATCCTATGACAGGTCCTTGCGCAAGTTTCTTAACAACCTTATCGCAGACCACTGCGCCATCGAGAGAGAATAACATAAATATCGCACACCTAGATCTAAACTAAGACAACTCAAAAAACGAATGTGGAGGTCTGACAATACATTTGTTTACGTGGCAGGAGCGCGACTACTGTTGATTCAACAAAAGAAAGCTAAAGTCATCTAGCGGCTCATCCCAGAACCTTTATTGAATCTGTTATGTTGGATAGATGCGTATGATCACCAAGTATTTGAATTGAAGTCAAAACTCACTCAAATTTTTGAGTTGTCTCAGTTTAGATCTAGGTGTGCGATATCTACTATAACATAATTTCAAACTTCTCAAGACCAACAAAGAAAGGTGGATCTTGTATTTTACTAAAAAGAGGAGTAGATTGCAATAATATGATGTTATTTGAGGATCTCACGATGATGTATCATTTTGAATGATGGGTAGTAAATTTGCTCGCGAATAAAATTATAGTAATATGTATACATAGAATACTATCTAAAATAAAAGAGGCAGAGCATGCCTTAACCAAATATTAAGTTATAATGACAAAGGGATTGGTTATGTTTTGCCTTTATATTCGTAATTATCGAATCACGATATTGCTCAGGTTTTGAAATTTTATATATTAAAATAAAAAAATATTTATTTTATATATTTAATTTTATATTTAGGTATTGAATATTTTGCATCATAACTACAAACTTTTTGCACACTTATCGTAAATGCTACTCGGCAGAAAATATCAATAAATTCAAAACGTATTTAAGTAGCATTTCGTTTTTAAATGTGTTCAATAAAAAAGATTTAAATATTGCAATATTCCAATTGCATTCAATGGATTTCACGACAGCTTCACTCTTTTGTTTAATTTGTGTTTTCTAGTATAAAAACTTACAAGGTTAAAGCTTAAATTGATCTCAAAGGATTAAGGCGCCTATTACACTACCCAATCTATCGGGCACGATATATCGGCCACGATTTAGGGCGGTTGGTGTCGTTGTGATTACACTGCACTAGATCGCCTCCCTAACTCAGTTGGCATGCAAACGTGGCGTTGAAAGGATGGCTCTTTCGCTCACAAAGTACCAAAAAATTGGCATAGCCCATACTTAAACTGCGGGCGTAAATAATTAAACATAACGTAGTTAATCATAATGAAAAATCCAATTTATCCCTAGCACTCTGAAGTGGGACACTGACCTTTCGCACTGGTGACTGCTCTAACAACAGAGCTACTCAGGACCTACCAGGACTGACGAATCTTTCAAGCACCTGTTACTTTTGTTCGCTACTACAGAGCGTTTTTTTATCAATGTTCAGGCATCCCTCCCAAACAGCCGAAAGAAATATTTCTACAAATACCGATGAAGATGAATTTCTTTTTCAGTACATTATGAATGCAAAATTGATCAAATGTAGTAAGTGTTTACTAATGCCAAATAACAACTTTCTAATACCAATAGCTTTTGAGCCAAATTTTGAGAAAAAAAGACGGACATGGCAAACCTATAAGGGTTCCTTGTTTGCTACGGAACCCTAAAAAACAATAAAATCTTTCCTCTTCATACTAATGGAATAGAAAAAATATAATGTGTCATGTGTATGTGTATAGAAATTTTATGTGTATAATCGAAGGAAACAAAAAAATCATCTAAAAAAATATTTAAAAAAATTATATTCCACACTAAATATATCAATAATATAGCATTGTTAATGCAAAGTTTTAAGAAATTTAAATACCGGACACAGTTAAATAATCATAAGGATAAAACTAATCATTAGGTACCTACCAAGCATATATTTATATTTAGTTATGAACTAATTAGTTGAATTATTAGGAAAATTTAATTCAGTAACGGGTGATTACTGATCGTTACGTGAACGTTTATTTGAAGTTCTCTTAATAATGTATTTTAATTCATTTGTGATATATACCGTAAGTAATAAGTTTCTATTTTACCACAAATCATGTTTCAGAAAATTAAAAATAAAATAAAACTATAATAAATAAGGTTTTGCGCAATTCTTCATGTGCATAAAAAATTCTTAAAGAGTTCATAATTATCTATGTTTTTTTCTTTATTTAAAAAACTAAGTAAATTGAATAAATTTGTGCGATGGACGAACCCATTGCTTATACTGGCGGCCAATTCTACCAAATAAATTTTGTTTAATCGAAAAAGGATCGAAAACGAATCGAAACCGAACGAAACTACAGTTTTTAATGGTTTTTCTATTCTATTAAGTGACATACGATACAATTCCAGCTAAAATAGAACTGTTAAAAGTAAATGTTAATAAATAAACCATTAAAAACTTTAGTTTCGTTCGGTTTCGATCCGTTTTCGATTCGATTTAAACAAAATTTATTTAGTAGTATTGGCCCCCTGAGCTCTGCGATCCTGTAAAAATACCAACTTAAATTCGACTTCACTCAGGTGTCTGAATTCACTGAAAAAGCGGCATTGACTTCAACCATGAATTGTTATTAACGTTTCGTACGTGACATAAGTGAAGTGATTTTCGAAATGACATAGGAATATAATATCTGAGACACGTATGAATCGATGAATTTTGTTTCGTATTTTTATACAAAAAAATGGAATCGATAGAATTTCTACACTACATGACGCGGATGCAGACACATGAGTGAATTCGAATTTGGGTCTGGATTTTTAAAGAATCACAGGACAGGAGCCAGTTCTGACAACACATAACATTGCACTTTTTCTTTGTTACTAGTATTGTATGATTACCTTGTGCTGTGTAATGTATGTGGTGTGTGTCTTTGGAAATACTGTTTATCAGTATTTATCAGAAGTAGATTACCAACAAATATCGCCAGCCCTTTTACGTCCCCACTGCAGGGGCTCAGGCCTTCCTTATGGATGGTTAAGGAGGATGGGCCATGACCCTCCACGCTGGCCCAATGCGGATTGGAGGGTATTAACGACTGCAAATGCAGCCGGGACCAACGGCTTAACGTGCCTTCCGAAGCACGGAGTATCTCGAGATAATATTTTTTTTTGGTCACCCATCCCGTGACCGACCCTTGCGAAAGTTGCTTAACGACTACGA